TGGGAGGGCTCACAGTGAATACTGCAGCCTCGATTTATTTCAGTTGTCTTTTCATACAGAAGAACTCAATTAGTTACAATTGCTGTTCTTCCCCACCTGTATCTGAGGGTCAGGAGCGGTCAGATCAGCTTCTTGGATCCTTTTGTTTACCACTAATGCCTCAAGGTCAGGTATTGTGAGGCTCTCCAGAAAACTCCTTCCTCCTGAATGGGCAGGTTAAGTACTGGTTTGCATGACACAAACTCAGTAAACGAGGCTGCCAACAGCTCAATGATTAGCGGCTCCCTACAGAATAGAAGTGGCTTTGGGGGCAAACTAAACAGAGTAAAAGTTAGCAGAAAAGATGCTCATTGGCTTTGGGGAAGGCTGAATGTTTCAATGTAGCTAAATTTTGTGGTAAAAGAAGGGGCCAGATGATTAATAATAACTCCCAAGTACCATGTCAAATTGCTCCAAAGCCTTCAATTAACATTCTTTGGGGCTGGAGAGATGACTCAGTGATTAAGAGCACTTGCTGCTCTTGCAGAAGATCCAGATTCAGTTCCCAGCACCCATGTGATGACCCTCAACCACCTGTAATTCCAGTCCCAGGGTATCCAGCACCCTTTTCTGGCCTCCACAGGCATGGCACTCACGTGGTACACATATATACAATCCAGGCAGAGCACTCATACACATAAAATAAAAGTAATTTTTGTTTAGATTTTCACAGCTTCTCCTTTAAGTATAGGTGTTTGTATTTCAGAGCTGGAGAGTTCTAATTCTAGTGAGATAGAAATACTAAGGTCATTTTCTCAGTGTCTCACACCTGGCCAGTGTCAGGTGACAGAGAGCATTAAGCTTTTCCTTTGTCAGCCTCAGGAACTTATTGATTTAGTGAATTAGTTCAGATAGACAGGAAGTAGCTGAAAACACTTAAATACCCAATATTTTGATACAATGGTATCAAATTAGCATGGGCGTGGTGGCACAGGCCTTTAATCCTAGCACTCAGGAGGCAGAGGCAGG